TTTATGTCATTTCACCAGACTGTGTTTCCCTTTAAATAGTTCTAAAGAGCAAACAATCTCTATTTTATATCAGTATACGTTATTCTTTGCTGGTTCAGCTTTATTTAATCTCTGTGACAGACCTTAAAACTTTATAAGGGTGGGGATTATTTCTTGAGCGTTTCTCTAAATTCTGCAATCAGAATATATTGACTAACCAGGATTAGCAGCAAATTATACTCTAGGCCCTGTGCTATGTACTGTACTTATCTATCATATTTAATATTCATTAAAACAATAGTAAGTAAATGTCATTAACCTATAATACAGACAAGGAAACTGAGCCATGAAGAGTTAAAGGAAGAAAGTCAGGTCATAAAGCTAGGTGGCATAGCTAATATTGATTTTCACTTTTTACACATAATTTTAAATCACGTTCACAAAATGACTGTCTTTTAAACATATAATCATCTTATTTTCTATTATATAATTAAGAAACTACTTTTTCTTATCATAGCTTTTGCCTTCTGATCTCAAGTTTTTTCCAAATGGAGCTTTGGTACATGGAGGTTTTAAAGATTTAACTTTAAAGACATAATTCTCTAGATGCTTGGTTTTCTTTATATTTTTACTTAATTCTGAGCTCACTTGATCATACTTACCTTAGAGAAATAATCTTTTGTGTTTGCTTCCTCCTGTTATTCTTCTGAATAATTAAATTTTGAAATAGTTCTCCTTGATAAATGTAATTTTGAGTGTCAGATGAATACTTCTTTTATTGTTACCTAACAGTTACACGAGATCACAGAAAGTTTTAAAAACGGGGGAGAGGGTTTGTCATTTTGTTATGATGACATGAAATAGAAACTATAGAAATGATACTTAATTGGGCCATGAATTTAGCTCATAAGGGCCACTGCCTGCCTCACCAGTACAAGGACCCGAGTTTGATCTCAAGTAAAAAAAAAAAAAAAAAAAGATACTTGCATTTTTCTTATGGTTAACATATTTTAAAATTTTTAGCTATTATTTTAATTATACATATTTATAGGATACAGTGTAATGATACAATACTTTATACTGTATATACTGATCAAATAAAGATAATTAGCAGGTATATGTCCTTCAACAATTTTATTTATTTATTTTTTTTAGTTTTTTGAGTCAGGGTCTCACTATGTAGTTCAGACTGCTCTGGAACTCACTGTGTAGCCCAGGCTGGTCTCGAACTTGCAGTGATCCTCCTGCCTCAGCCTCCCGAGTGCTGAGATTACAGGCATGCGCCACCACGCCCAGCAACAATTTTAAATTTTTGACTAATACATAATTATTATACATATTTATAGGGTACAGTGTGATATCGCTACATATGTATATAATGTAAGAGTATGTAATTTTCAATGTGATTTACTTTACCTAAGGAACTCTTCCTTTAATACTTTTGTTATTGATAAAATTGTTTAGTTCCATTACTATGTTTCCCTAGTCACGTATGCATGAAATATCTATACACTCTATATAACATATCCACAGTGGCAATCAAAAATTCTGTATTATCTCCCTTTTAGCAGAAAGATCATAATATTTTAACTAAATATTTTTAAAATTCTATAAGTCATTTTCTGACCACACCTCATACACATCTTCCATGGGCTCTCACACCTTATGGACTCACACATTATATATCTCCACTGTGCTTTCTCCAGCTCTTAAAATGCCTGCAATTTTAATTTCTACCTAGTCAACAACATCTTCCATAAGACACTGAGAAACTCACTAACACTGCATTGCATTTTGACATGCAACTCTCTTTTTCTTTATTCCTTATTTTTTAGGACACTTCCATCTTCATTTAGACTAGACATTTTTAATCTTGGGGGGATTCCTTTTTGAAATATACTTATATGTACTAATACACATATTTAAAGTATAAAGCAATATTACAACAAATACTAATAATATATATTTGCAAGATATAGGCCACAAATTAAGAAGTTAGCATTGATATTTACTAATTTATTGATCTGTAAATAGAGCCATAGCAAAAATGCATAAAAGATAAATCTTATTAAAATATGTCTTTCGTGTTCAAATCACTCAGCTGAGCACATACACAAAAACATATTTGGATATTTATCATGTGTTTTTAGTGACACTAGAAGAAGTAATTAACCAAATCTTAGCAAATGAAAATACAATATTATAGACAACTAAAATACGTCCTTTCCTTCTTTTCTTTCCTATTATCGTTGTATTTTAGGGAAATACAGAGTTGATAAATATTTGGGTGGGAGTAGGAATTGGTGTGGTATGGGAGAATGTTATGTTCTTGGAACAAAACTGGATAGATTCAGTCTCTAATTCTTTACTCTCTTTATTGTTTACACCAGAGGTTCTCAAACTGTAAAGTGGATATGCCTGAAGTCCCACAAGATCATTACAGGGGATGAGCAAAATTGAAACTATTTTTATAAATTTTTTTGGCCTTTTTACTCTCAAGCTTTTATGAGTATACTGTGAAGTTTTCCAGAAGCTACTACATATAAGATTATATTAAATTAAATGAAGAAACAGGTATGAGAAATTAACTGTTTTAAATTAAGCCAGACTTTGAGGAGACTTGTAATACTAATTTGTTCACTTCTCACTAACCGCTGTTTGTTTGTTAAATAAAATAATCTCTCAGATGAGCGCGAGGACCTGAGTTTGATCCCCATACCAAGAAAAAAAAAAAAAAAAAAAAAAAAAAAAAAAAATCCAACAAAAAACCAAAACTCTCTCAGAGAGTTGGAGAGACCTCTAATAACATGGCTTACCGCTCACTTCTCTTAACCTCACAGCTACCTTGCTAATCTCACTGTTACTGCATCAGTTTAGGCCTTCATTACCTCTTGTCAGAAACATAATACTATCCTAAGAACATGTACTATCTTGGGCCTTTCCCATTCCAATCCATTTTTTCTGTTACTGTGAAATGATGTTTCTGAGAAACCTGAATACAGTAATTTCTAGTTTATAAACATTCACAAGTAGAAGAAATAAACTACAGTAAGTTTTTCGTTTGTGTGGTCTTTGTTTTTCAGTTTTTTTTTTTTGAGACAGGTTCTCACCATGTATTCCAGGCTGGCCTTGAACTCACAGTGATCCTCCTGCCTCAGCCTCCCAACGGCTGGGATTACAGATGTGCACCACTATGCCTGGCTTCAAACTAGGGAATTTCTGAAATTTTTTATATATTTTGAAAATATGAAGAATAAACTTCACGGTATAGATATTAGTTCAGAATATTAGCCATTAAGAGGCATTACTACAGAATACTTAATAGTGAATAGTAATAATTAGCATAATTTAAACTCATAATAATTAATAATTAACTCTGGTCACAGACTGCGTGGGTTAGAATCTTGCTTCTAATTTTTACTAGCTTTATGACCATGGGCAAGTTACTTAACTTCTCTGTCTGTTTTCTTTTTTTTTTTTTT